ATTCATCGTTACAAAAAGCATAACCACAGATCACACATAGTATTACTCCAGCTCACCATATGCTACTAGAAGGTTGGGGTCTTCATGCATGTCAACCAACACCTACATTATACCAAGTAAAATTACAAGAGATCACACACTTCCTCACTGCTAACCATCATCTTTTAACATACTAAATATGAAGAAGTAGGACTGCACTCTAAATTACTTTAAATACCACAAACACGACACTAGATATAAATTAATGAAACTTAAATATATAATTGAGCAACTTAAATATTCTGTACTGGTAAAATTTGAACGCAAATCAGTGCAATACAGTTGAAAAAATTGGTTAAGATGATTAGAAAATGTTGACTTTCATGCAACTTTGTTTAAAGACTCAAAATGAACTAAACCTGATAAAAGGGTTGATCAGGACCACGAGTCAACTTTTCAACATTTGCACCATCAATCCAAGACTTTGACTCGCAGCATACTGGATCCATTCCACAAATGACAGCTCGATATCCTATGGTGTCAAATCAAATTATTCAAATAAGTGACACAATTAAACGATGCTAGTCAGCTAAACTCATCATCAATACATGATATCCTGAAAGTTGGAAATGATTCTCCATCCAGAAGATTACCACAATTCACATTTTCTATTCTTCTGATGATTGCAAGTGAACAAGGGTATATTAGTCTAAACATAGCTTAATCATCGAAACATAAAGTAGTATAATTGGAAACTTTTACATAGGGATTTTCCATAAGAAAGAACCTGCTTTTGTCTTATGTAAACCGAGTTATTTATTGTAACGTATACTTTAATACACATGCTTTCTAGCTTCAAGATAAACTAGCTCAAACAGTATGTTAACCTTTATTCCATATTACTGCTCTTAAACTCATTGTAATGTATAATTTATTACACTTACTTTCTAGCTTCAAAATAAACTAGCTCAAACAGTATGTTAACCTTTATTCGATAATAATACTGCTCTTAAACAAATATATTCAAACAATTTATGCCGGGAACTCTTCACAGCCTACGTAATAGAATATTATGCAAGATGAAAACAGACAAAAGTAAGCAGTAAGAGTAAAAGATTACCAAATATCTTGTGTTTCACTTTCTGGCCCAAACGGAAAGCATACTGTGCCTTTTCAAATGCTTGAGCTTTTACCGATGCAGATAAAGACTTAGCTTCCAGTTTTGATATTTGATCCCTTATCTCGGCAGCCAAACTGTAATTCTCACTCTGAATAGCGTTCTGCAGTTCTGCACTGAAAGATACGAATTTTCATGAACCAAGTGCCCAAATAAATTGATTTCAGNTGAGGTAATCAAAATTTAATCACCTAAACCATATAACAGTATCATCAGAAATTAGGAAATATAAATTTCATGAAAATATACTTCAGGATTTACTAATTTCGATGCTCTCCATCAAATAAAATTATGATAAAACAAATAGAATATAACAAAAAAAAAAAAAAATGACTTCAAAGTAACAAATTACCTGCCTCATCACATACCCATTAGTTATTTTTTTCTCTTTTTTTTCTTATCAGTTCTGTGAAGCATAAACAGAAACAGTACCCTAGACAAAGAATAGAATTTAGAGAACAATTTACATAATCAAACCTCATTCAGCTTGTTCCTCAGTTGCTTAGCAATGTCATACTCCTCCAGATTCAGAGCATACTGCAAAAAAAGGAAGTACTAAGTACTAACCCAATCAAGAACCTTGTTTTTTGTCATCAAAAAAGGGAAAAACTTGCAAACGACTTGTTTTTATCTCCAAACCTGTACTCGTGTTGCCAAATCCAGCTCAAAGAAAAACATCAGAATATCCTCATTGACACTTTCACTGTGCTCACAACTAGGGTCCAATTCCGACCCTTCATCACTACCTTTAAACAGCCAACTAGCTTGAGCCCTCAACCTTCCACGTTGAGAAACATCACACAGACCTCCAAATGAAAAAATTCTTCCACGAGAAGAACAAAGGCATGATTTCCCAGCCTCGACAGCTATATGCGGCTCTCTCACTTGGCCGAGATAAGCAACACTGCATCTAGAAGTCCCTAAAGTGTTTATCAACATTTGCACCAGTTTAAGAGCCTAACAGCCCTCCAAAATTTTATGGATCCCCTAAAAAAATGAAATTAAAAAGAAGGAAAAATAACCCTCAATCCTCAATCACTTTAACCACGATATACAATCAGCAGTAGTTCAATTTTATAATCTGAGTTTTTATCAAACAACTAACATACAAAATAACTAAAAGAAATAGACAGAAGAATTCACATGAAAGGAATGAAATACAACACGATGATTGTTCGCCAAATAGAAAATATAACTATTTGGGCATTTTCTCAAACTCTTGCTAAAAAATGTGACATCCTATGGTTATGAAGCTACTGAATTCACCTAATCATGGGATGATGAAATTATCTCCGCCATTGAAGACGTGAAACGACGGCGCATCTAAATTCAAGAAATTAAGTTAATTTTAACTACTCTACGCATCTAGTTAGTCTCTCAGAAAAACAAGATATTTATTCAGAACAACAAAAATAGATTCATGAGTAGGTTACACCAATCCCAAAGACAACAATCACAACTCTTCCCATATAAATGAAACATAAACAACTAATGGTAAATTCGAAAAAAATTAAAAACAGAAAAACACCATTACATGATACCAAAAACATCATTTTGATTTTGATAATTCTAAACAAACAGAAAAAAGGAAAATCATAGGTCTTTGAAGAAAAGGGAAAGTAAAAAAAAAAAAAAAAAGCCATTAGGTCTTTCAACAGATGTACCAAGGAGTTCGAGGTTGCGTATAATTCAACTGTGGCAATAAAGCGAACACCTCGTACGGTGGCTAATTTGTCAGAAGTTTTTGTATGTGGGAATGGTTTTGTTCTGCAACCTGCGTGGCCACTGTGAGTCGCACAACTTTTCATTAAAGCTTTAATGAAAATCCTAAATGAGAAGGAAAATTGGAAGGAACTCAACGTCAGCCATATATATGTGACAATGGCACTAAGGGGGTGATTGTTTATGGATTCAACTAGTTTTTATTTGGTTTGTTTTTAACTATAGTTAATTTTGGAAAAAAGAGGTATGGTTAGTTGTTAGTGGATATATTAAAATAATATTTAAATAAAATAATTAAAGTTGATTTGATGTAAAGTAGGAGAAAAATGATTGGAAGTGATGGTTAGTTAAAATTATGTGAGTGGATGAATAGTGAATTAAAGTTGATTTGATGGGTAAGAATGATTGGTTGATATTATTTAATTATATTGGTAATATGAAAGATAGTGAGATTGAGTTAGAGTTGAGTTAAATTTAAGTTTTGATTGGATTTTTTACTATTCAATTTATATCCAATCGCCCCCTAAATAGTCACTAATTTAAATAGCCATATTGATTTTAAAAAATGTCTGAAAAAAAAATATCGATTTTTAAAAAATGAAATATAATCACTGAAAGTGTGGTCATTTTACAAAAACTAGTACAAATCCCGAGCATTTATTACCCATTTATTTTTTAAAAGGTATTTTTGTATTTAAATTGTTTCATATCATTAAAAATTTCATGAAAATAAAATTTATATGTTATTAAAAACTTCCTTATGTACAACATTATTGATTTGATTCTTTGACACGTAAAGTACTACATAGGTGTTCGAATTTATCCAAAATTGCATATTATTAGTTAGTAGTTAATAAATTTTAAAAAATTTAAAGAATCTTATTTATTAAACAAAATTAAAGTAGAAAAAAAGTAGAATTTTTTAGAGATTTTCACCCATTATTTATTTTAAATCTAATTCTAAATTTCAATTAAGAAAAATTGAAAAGAATCATTAGTTACTCCTGGAAATGAAACAAATTTTCCTACCAATAAACCGATTTTTTTATCAAATAGATTGATCCGAATTTTTTTTTAAACCAAATAAAAAAAATCATCAATTTTTCCTAAAAATGCAACCGAATTTTCCTAACATTGCACCAATTTTTGTACCAAACAAATTGAATTGAAAATAATTCTAATAAAAATTGAAATAAATTGTTAATGTTTATGAAACTATCTCTTTCCTAAAGAAAATGATATGAACTTAACAAAAAAAAATGATATGAACTTACCAAAATCTCGGTAAAACATGGTTAAGAAAAAACATAAGAATCCAGAAAAATCGATGTATTTAAATTTTGAAAAGTTGCACACAATTTTTCCTAAATACTTGGATAAGGTGACTTTAAATATCAATGATGAACCGCTTTTGTTACCATAAAATGTGGACACAATTTTGAATGTACATCCCGTCCAAATATCAGTTTTATTTTAAAATAATTATTTTACATTGCTTTATTCAATTTACACAATTTTTTTGAAAGAAAAAATTATTCAATAAGATTGAAAAAATTGATTAAGAATTATACAACTATTTGCTTCCTAAATTTGTATCCAGTTTGCACGGTTTTTGAATTAATTTGTATTTAGAATTGTTTTCATAAATAATTGACATATTTTTTTGCATAAGAATCTCCAAATTTGTTACCAAAAAAAATATGATTTAAATTTTGGTAAAAAATAAAATATGATACGAAAAAAATGGGATTCAAATTTTTCCATAAAAATCTCCAAATTTGTTACCAAAAAAATAGGATTTAGATTTTGTTACTAAAGATTCACATGTGTTTTTTTGAACTTTCCATTAATCGTAAGTCAAACATTATATTTATTTGGTCAAATTTTCTATTAATGTATTTTTCCAACAACCTCTTTATATATATATATAGATATAGATTACTGAAATGGCACACTTACTTTTACTATCCAAAATCATTTCTAGATTTTTAAAATTCTAGAAATGGTTTATAGACATATAAACAAGTACGGTGGGTTAGCCCCTCTAATAATTGGACCATCTCACATAAGAATTGTGTTAGTGTATATGTGTCTCTGTGTGAGCGCGTGCGTGTATACATACACTTATCTTTAAATTAAAATATATATCATAAATAATAATCTTTTGTCATTTCAATTTAATGATTTATCCAAATTAAATTAGACAAATTACATGATCCAAGTGAGGAGCACGTGCACCTTACTAGTATACTTCAAAAATATAAATGACCAAAATAAAAAACCCAATACATCTAGCAGACTCAACAAAACATAGTGCATTGATCCAAGTACGTTCTTTGCACGTACGTCAATTATGTCCACGTTTACCACAACAATTAAACCGCCAAACCGTAATGTCAACTTGTGATTGCAACCTTTTCCCCTACCGCGTTTGGACTGAGGCCGTACATTTGGGGCTTGAATGATATCATCATGATGTAAATCTACTATGTTATGGTCGTAGTTATGTATAAGACTAATTATACCCAATAAGCTTGTCTATACATCCCAACACGATAATATAGATCACAAAAATCACAGACATTGACTTACACTTAATAGATGCACATGCATGCTTGTAAGACATCTTAGGTAGTTGTTATTCTCTACAAGAATAAGTACGGACAAGCAAATCCACACACAACTTTTGTCGGCATCAAGAACCTCAAACCTCAATTTACTTGACAGGATGATTTTTAAACTCCGAAAAACACTGTAATTAGATTCATTTTTTTCATCATTAGGCACAACTCATAGCAAATAGTGACACTCCCTCACGCTAATCATGCATCATGTTCATAAAATGAGTTGGATAAATAAATTTCAAATCTCGAGCAAAATTAGTATCCAATACAAATAAAATACGTGCTACATTATCTACAAACATATACCATATGCATACATCAATGGTATTATGTCCATCTACGAGAAAATAACATAACCTAATATAATTAGTTGGTAGATATGAACAACAATCAACAATCAATGACACTTTCTTTATTTTTGGTGGGTATGAAGAGCAAAAGTTGGTCAATTTTTATTTTTTTTAAAAGAAAATTAAATGAACATTCATCTCAGATGTTGGAATATTTCACAAAGAGGGACAATCTTTGTTTGTTGAAAAAGGGCGGGTTGAAGTTTTTTCGTAGATTGTCACGCGACTTTCTTTGTTGGGAGTTTGTCGGAGTTGCTCGCTATCGTTTTTCTCTACCATTCGTTGCGTCAGTCTTTCACCAGTTTTGGTCGCGTTCATCTTTCGCCGGAGTTCGTCGCATTCGTCTTTCACCGGAGTTCGTTGCGTTCATCTTCCGACGGAGTTCGTTGTGCTGCACCTGAAAAAACAAAAGAAAAAAAATCACCGGAGAAAGGGGAGGGGAGAAACGAAAATTTTGAGAAATGATAAAAACAATTGTGATTAAAAGTGGGTAAACTTTTATGAGTGCAATTTCTAATTTCAAGAAAGATTGAACACAAATGAAAAAAAAGTAGCTTTAGGGTTTAAATCTAAAACTCCTAATTATAATTTATAAATCATCCAAAATTAATATGTGGAATTATGAATTTCTTGACATTTAATCTCAAAACTTCAAGTGCGTTTGAATATATTTTTATTGAGTACTAATGTAGTGAAAAATAATAACTATTTTATTATACATTGAAATAATAATTACTAATATATGAGTAACTAAATATTTGTTTTTGTTAAAAAATCCGTATTGATTTCTTAAAAATTAGTACTAAAAAATATGAACAATAAAGAAGAGTGAAAAAATGAGATCAATGAATAATGTATTTCTTTTAATACGAGGGAGATAATGAGATATAAAATACATCCAATCGCACATGAGATCATGTTTAATTATATTTTAACTATTATTTTTTATTTTTAATATAAATTTAAATAAACAAATTTATACGGAGTGGATTAATTTAATTGGTCTTATTATATCTATCAAAGCAAACAACCGTCTATGGTGACCGTTGGTTTTTCTCAACTTGCTCAGTTTTCCTTTATCACCATAAACAAACAGAGTCCTCTCTGCCGAGAACCAATATAATGGTTTCCCCTTTGCTCAGTGCTTCTATCACTAAGCCATCGCCCTCATTTTCCATTTCTGCAAACAAGTTCAAAATCCCTTGTGGCCCTTCCCAACAAAAATTACTACTCCCATTTGTATCGGGCGTGGGAAAATCGAAGCCCATTAAAAATGTTCAAAATTTGTCGTACTCGCAAACCCTAGCACGAATTGGGTTTCAGAGTTCTGTGATTCCTCTGGCTGTGTCTCTTGCTTTTGTTCTATGGTCTAATCCAGGTGATTTTTTTTCCTTTTTTTTTTTGTGTTTGTANTTTTTTTTTTTTTTTTTTCATTATTATTTCCGCATGTTATATGGTTTGTTTTAAGTGTAGTTTATGGTTGTGTGGAGTACACAGATTTCTTAGGTTGTGCTGGGGCCGAGATTTTTGTTCTTGTGGATTTTTGTGTTGAGAATGGGGATATCCGTACGTGATTCAGAGAATGCTTAGTTATTTGTGCTTTAAAGTTTAAACCTTCTGAGAGTGAAAGTGTGTGAGCAAGAATTTCTGGGCAAAGACATTTGTATGAACATAAATGGCTTCCACACGTTGGAATTCCAGGTTGTTATGTTTTATGTTAAAACAAAAGGATGATTACGAAAGCTTTCACCTAATTAAAGAAAAGCCTAGCTAACTTTGAGAATGGTTAAATTCACTGTTAAAAACTTAAAATCAAGGAGGGGGTAACTGTAGTATTGAAAATGTGAAGCTGAGGTTGGGAAATGTTATTTTGCTTTAAAAGGGGCATACGTAAAATTAATTTGAATTTACGGCGCACATTTTCGCAGTTTTGAAAGTTAATTGGGATTTTTCGATAATTTTTTTAATCTCATTGTTCTAAGCTTCCTGAATCATCAAGTCCAAATATGGAAAAATTGGAAAGACGGCACCCTGGGACTGCGAAATTATTAACTGATTTGTCAGTGCAGTTAGCTTAGAAGTGGTTTCAGTTATGAATTGTTGAAATCATTCTGTCATAGAAGACAGAAGGTATTAAAATGTCTAGCTTGCAGCTCATGCTGGATTTCTCTCGGGCATCTCGGGGATAGAATCAGTACCAGGCCCTCAGTTGCCTAAGGTCGATTTTCTCACGCGTTTTAATGGTAATATTTTGTGATACACTTTCAAATAAGCCACATTTGCGTATGATTTGATTTGCTCTGGAATTTCCGTAACCTCTTGGTTATTTTAGAGGAAAATCAAAAGAAATATGCCGAAAATGATGCAAGATTCAAAGAGTCTCCTCTCCTTAAGAAGTTGCTGGAGCAGACCAAGCTAAACAAAGAAAAGTATACTCTCTTCACCCATTTAGAGTGAACTCTACAAAAACTACCATTTGATGTAGTCTAGGAAAACTCAGTTTATCTTTTAAAATTGCAAATACCCTTGAAAATTTGTTTTTGCCTGAATCTGTGGTGTTCTTTCTTTCAGAAATCGACAGCAAATTCTTGACAAATATTGCATCCGTGGGGCTGAGTGGGGAGTTGGAGATTGCTCAGCCGAAGGCATGTCACCAGAAGATAGAGACAAATTTATTGCGATGTTGAAGCAGAAAGCTGGAGTTGAATGAGGCCATGCAGTTCTAATTTAATGCATGCCGATACGGTGATGTGGCAACTCATTGCAAGTTAATTCTTTCGAAATATGAAGCGAAAAACATTAGGCAAAGGAATAATATCAAACATTTTTGCAAGAGTTATGAACGATTAATAAATCATTTCCCATTTTAGTTCATCCCCATTTAAATTGTTTAGAGTGTATTTTACAAAATCATCCTTGATTTTGGCCTTGTAACGATACCGATGTTGGAGCTTGAAGAACTTGGTGAAGGAATCTTGACTACGGCAATTTTGCAGCTAGTCATGATGATTGGAGGAATTTTGGAGAAAAAGATGAGAGGTAGAGAGGTCCCACCATCTATGCCAGAAATTTGTAACAAATTTTGTGTATTGAATTTATAAACACAAAAAATATTGACTTGATTTGACTTGAAGTAACGTTAATTTGAGGGCTAATGCCTTGATTTCAGATCAAACGTCGTAATTTCTCAAGAACGTTCAACACGAGTTCTTGGTCTTCGCCGTAAAGTCGATTTTAGATCTTTTTCGCGTAGATTTTGCAGTTACTAGCGCAATTCGGAAGCTTGACAGTTTGTTTCCTAATTGAACGTCAGTCTTTGAGGTTGAACATGCTTGATTCTTGTTTCAAATCTTCAAGAACGCTTTTGAATTTTCAAAAACACTTGAATCTCGTCGAGAAAATCTCTAGAACTTTTGAACTTGAATATGAATTGTGATTTATGTTTTAGAGAGAGTTCCTATTAATAGGTGTTGGAGAGAGAATCCCAAATTTAAGAATAGTAAGACGCTTAACATTATTTGATTGGTCGAGAATTAAAATATCAAAATATTAATTAATTAACTATTTAAATTAAAAAATTTAATATATAAAAATTCTTAAAATATAAATAAAAAATATAATTTAATTTTTAATATATTAATATTCGTGTCATTTGATTGGCCATAAATTTTCTTTATCTACAAAATCCCGTGCGATTTCCCAGCTTACCCAGCCCAATGCAGAGTGAGAATCGCGTTGCCAAACACGGCTCACATGTGATTGCAGGGGCACCGACACGTTGCTTTAAATAATGAAAGAGAAATGAGATTAACATGACTTGCACAGTTGCTTTAAATATCTTGTGATATATTATTAGTTTTTTATAAAAAAATAAAATAAAATATGTGGTTTTAGTTTGATATCACTCTTAAAAATAAAAAGAAAAGGAAAAGGAACATATTCTTTGGCATTATTCTCACGTATCAATTTATTTTGATTGTAAGTTTATATGTCAAAACCTAATACATTGGAGTAGTCTGTTTAGGGCCTGTTTGATTTGCAAGATTAGATAGGATTAAGCCCTTTGTCCAGGCCCACTCCCGCGTTTGTATTTCAAGACTGCGGCCCGTAATATTAGGCACAGCCCGGGATTAAAATCACTTTATCTTGGTTTTCGGGTATTAAATAATCCCATGTTGGCCATGTGATTTTTTTGATCCATACAGTACAGGCCCAATCTAAATTTCTTTTTTGTCCCTGATATTTAACATTTCGGACAAAATTAACCTCGACTAAACAAATAATTACAACATGCCATGTGATTTAGCATTGTCGTCTTTGACCTACAGAAGAATGTCGAAGAAGATCTGTGAGTCAAGTGCATAAGAGGCGAAAAATTCACTGGACCTGCGACTTCTCTGTAAGTTTGTGTTCCTATAATAGCAGTAATAAGGACGAATCATTTAGTTTTTGCTTTGCCATACATACATTTTACTGTCGTTTCGACATTGTTGTTCTTAAACGGCTGGAAATTTTTCGCCTGTTCTGTCCGCAGTAAATTTGAGGAACGCGATTGATACCTGAAAGCAGTACTTTGGTTGCAGCTATTATTTCACATCGTACTCCTTGCACGTCACAGGTACATGATACTGGAAACCACTAATTTGGCTTTACCTTTTCGATTCCGGCGAGTAACCCTAGCAGAACAAATTAATTTGCTGTTGTTATTTCGGGTGGGTAAAAGTAACACTCCTTTTATTTTGCATTCGCTTGGATTTAACCCCTACACGTTTGGATTTAACACAAATGTTTTTTTTTTTTTTTTGTNTTTTTTTTTTTTTTTTTGTTGGGTTTCATTATGTTTTCTTTTTTGTCTTCGTTTGTTGTCAAAAATGTATTCCATAATTGTTTTTTCGGTGGTCTCGGAGTGTTCTTGGTTAACTTTGTTGACTGCCTATTTTGGTGCCTGTGTTTTTTCCAACCCTTCATTTTCATACTTTACCAGTTCTTCATTTTTGTTCACAAATAAACAGAGTTGTTAAGGTAATATTATGTTTAACAGCTCTTTTTTGGGTGAGAAAAAATAATTGAACTTCAGTGAACCGTACTCCACTTTTAAGTTCATTTTTTGTACAGATTTCTATTTTAACGAGGTTAGAAAACATTTAAAACACTTTACTTCTCAGTTTAACACAGTCACGGCCAAGTATGTAATTTTTCTTTACATCGTCAGACTAACAATGGACATAGAATCGGAAGAGGCGCTATTACTATTGCTCGTTGAGGACTTAATAAATATACGTAATTTGTGTCTTGTACTTGCGTACGTTTACCTTAAGCTGGTTGTACAACGACGACAACATCGTAGAGTAAGACGTCGGCTTACACGAGCTTCCTATAGTATGTCAAGCCGTCTTCCGTCTCAGATTGAGCATATGAAAGTGTTAGTAGAAATTAGTGACACAACATGCATTGAACAACTTCGCATGGATCGAAGCACCTTTGGACGTCTATGCTACTTGTTGGAACATATTGGTGGCCTGCGGAACACTAGAGATATTCAAATAAGTGAACAAGTAGCAATTTTCCTTAGTGTACTAGCTCACCATAAAAAAAATCGAGTTGTGAAATTTGATTTTAACCGATCTGGACAAACCATAAGTAAATTTTTCCGCAATGTACTGATGGCTGTCCTGCGCTTACACCCCATCCTCCTTGCCGAAAGTACCCCTGTAAGCGACTCATGCACAGATTGGAGATGGAGGTGGTTTAAGGTGAGTACGACTTATTTGTATATTTCAATCCAGTATTACTTAAATTCCAGAAATTAAACCATTTCAGTGTGGGACTTCATTGTGTTGTGCATTGAATGACAGGGATGCTTAGGGGCGTTGGATGGAACCTATGTTCCCGTGGGTGCTCCTGTACGACTACACCCACGATATCGAAACAGAAAAGGGTTTGTTTCCGTGAATGTGCTTGGAGCTTGCACGCAAGAAATGAATTTTTCTTATGTACTGACTGGTTGGGAAGGTTCAGCGGCAGATACTAGGGTTTTACGAGACGCCGTTCACCGTGAAGGGGGTCTTCGAGTACCAACCGGTTAGTCTTAAATATATTTATGTAAAACGTAATACTAATGTGGACGGTTATCCTAAATTTTTGGTAATAATTATTTTTAACGGAATTATATTTAAATGTTTTATTGTTTTGTTTTTGGCAGGGAACTATTACCTCTGTGATGCCGGCTACACAAACGGTCCGGGATTTTTGGCACCGTACAGGGGTGTACGGTATCATCTGAATGACTTTGGTGAGGGTAACCGAGTGCCTACAAACCATAGAGAGTTGTTTAACTTAAGACATGCACAAGCGCGTAATGTAATCGAGCGAGCTTTTGGAGTATTGAAGATGCGATGGGCCGTCCTTAGGAGCAAAACCTATTTCAATATAGACACTCAAAATAAAATTATACTTGCTTGTTGTCTTCTTCAAAACTTTATCCGAATGACCATGAATGTTGATCCTATGGAGAATGAGGCCGACTGTACGACGAATGACCACCAAAACCAAGACGCGGATGGCCCCAATGACTATGTAGACGCTGTAGAGCCCAGCACAGAGTGGACAAATATGCGGGATGCTTTGGCTCTTTCAATGTTTAATGAATGGGATGGTCGGAGTTGAAGACCCCAACAAACAACATTTTCTTGGCTATTTCATGACCAATGTTTGTAGAATTAAACATATTCAACCTACTAAAAGACCTGGTCATGATTTTTATTAATATTTGTTCTAGTTTTAATTTGTATTTATGTGGAAAACAGTTTGGTGTGAAAGATTCAGAATATGTGTGACTCATAAACCATTTCATTTATTTTTATCTTCGGTTGTGTGCATAATACATTGTTTGTCCTCCTTACTTATGGTTTCTCTTTATTATAACATATTGTATTCTCACTGTGGAACCGACTAACCTACGATTCTTGTTTGTGTGTTGCTTCTGTCTTTAGTGATGGAATCCACTTGTAGTGGGGGACGCAATTCACAAGTGAACGGACAACGTCGAACATGGAATGTGGACGAGGAAAGTGCATTAATTCAAGGTCTGCGCGATCTTGTCTCGCGCGGCTGGAAATGCGACAACGGATTTCGCTCAGGATATACCAACATATTAGAGCAACATATGGCCCGGTGTTTCCCAGGTACTACCATACGAGCTGAACCACACATATCATCAAAGATTACGGTTTGGAAAAAGACTTATGGTTTGATATTGGGAATGCTTGGTACTTCGGGGTTCGAATGGAGTGAAACGGGAAACATGATTGTTGTCAAGGAAGATGCCGTTTGGCAATCCTACGTCAAGGTAACTTAACCGTTTTAATATGTTTTTTTCTGAAATTTATTTTAAGGATACATTTAAATTTATTTTACATTTTATTTCTTTTAGGCAAATCCAAGAGTGAAGGGAATGCGTTATAAAACTTGGCCCTTTTATGGTGATTGGGTGGAAATATTTGGCAAGGACCGGGCTACAGGAGAGGGTGCACAAGGTTTTACTGACGCGGTTAATGGAGTGTTACATGAACCAAGCGTCCATGCACCTAGCCCTATCCCAACTCAAGACTCATTCCCGGAACCTTTGGAGCACCCCGACACCAACATGGACTCTTTTTCGGCCCAAGCGGGTGAGAGTAGTGCATCCGGTAAGTCCAAGCGTCACGGAAAAAGAAAGCGTAATCCAGAGGTGGAGGATAAAATAATTGGACTAATTTCTTCTGTTTGCGAGGAGACGAACAAGCGTCTTTCTGAATTGTCATCACGATTTACAAACCAAGGTGATGCTAAGGAGCAAAGAATTGCCGTTTATGAGGCACTCAAACAAATTCCCGGAGTAACAACGGATGAGCGGGTAGTAGTCGCGCGTTACTTATGCAAAAACGTTGACGAGATGGATCTCTTTTTCAGCCTTGATGATGTTGCGAAGTGCTCCATGGTCCAACAAATCTTGTCCGGTCAACAGAAATAGAAAGAAAAGACTTCTCAATGTTGATCTATGTTTATGGTCTACAATTCAAACTTTGTCCTTTTGGAATTTGAACTATCTATGTATTTGTTAAGTAATGACTGTGGATGTTATCACCATAACATTTTGATGTTCATGATGAACTTCGGACTTATGTTGTAGGGTCATATATTTTGTCGGTGAACTTATGCTTTTGGTTTTTGTGACATTCTTTTGGTTTTCTGACATTCGCACCAACTATTTACTTACCTTATTTATTTGTGTTGCATAATTGCCAAGGTTCACTTGTTGAGCTCGTATTAGTCCAATTATGCAAGTTTAGAGGTTTTACAAGCTAAGATCTTCATTCACTCTAACTGGAATCAAAGAAAGTAAAACGATATGTTTTTGTCTTCATAATTACGTAGTGGTTATAGTTATTGCCTACCTAAAAAATATAATGAAAAATATAAATATACAATGAATTATATATTACAAAATGCAAACAAGTATTAAAAAAACATTTAATCATAATAAGGAATTTGAACATGGCTTTATTATACTAAAACGTTTTTCCCACCACTATCAAACATTATAAATTATAATGATATGTATGAAAGATATTTTTTTTCATGTACAAGATACAGGAATGTGAAAAAAAAAATTACATTTTCACTTGACATATTTTTTTTATTCGAAATGTGCTCTTCCCGAATATATGACTCATTATTTTACATTGAATAAATATGTATACGGACTTTATTTTTATTAACAAAATTCATGATCATAAAAACCAAAAAAATAATAATAATAATGATAACAAGATACTAAGCTATGGTTAGGTCCATATGCAGTTAACTACATAAATAAACACCCTAAAACAACAAAATTTTGCTGGAAAATAAGAAACGGATCTCTAGCCAATTTGTATTCTTCATTTGCATGTCCTAGACCTTTCTTCAAACCACAAGCATTAATGCAAACAAATTTAGTCAGTAAACTTGCCATCCCACTTGAGCCAAAAAAAATGCTTCATGATTATTCCCATTTAAGATGACTTGATTGCTAACAACCAAATTAACTCACCATTAATGTTCATTTGAGGGGCAATCCGACTATTTACCATCCTGTGGTGTGTGCATTCTCAGAATTTAAACCACCAGCAACCCATCTCTATTCTCTCCTTTTTATTGGTAACTTTTATTTCCTTATTAACTAGTTTTTAATTGGTTTTTCGTTCTTATTTTTCATGCTCTGTTTTGGTTTCCACAACACAGAAAACACTGTAATGGATCGGTCGACAAGGTTGGGTAACATCGCGCGCCAATTCAGGTTGGAGGGGTGGACCGAGGAGGAAGAGGAGGTTTGCTATCGTCTTTTTTTTCAGAAGTGTGCAGAGACGGATGACGTTCACATGGCACATGTCCTCAATTCGCTGTGGTTCGGACTCTCCCGTCAGTTATCGGAGCTTATGCAGAAGGACTTCTCTTGGATGAAGGTACGTGATAAAATCCATTGCCTTGAGGGACATTACCGTGAATTCCTTCGCTACATGACCACACCGGGTGTCGCCGTTCATGACGACGGGTCTTTGGTTAGTGTGAACCGAGACTACTGGAATTTCGTCGCAGAGGTAAGTTTGTATGGTTATAACCTTCTTAATAAACATGCAGTGGAACTTTTGTATATTCCCGACAGATTATTTCAACCTGCAGGAGACCGATTTAGAAGTGTTTTTTCGTTGGAATGGCTTCAAATGGTACAATGAGTGTGTGCAACTGTGGAACTTACGGGGGGCTGCACAAGTGGACCTCGAGACCAACCCAGGACAGAGTGTGCAGAACCCAATTTTAATGGATGTCATGGAAGATGATGTTGAAGTGGAGGAGCAGGTTCCTCTTCCAATCGAGGAAGATGAAGTTTTTATGGGACCGAATGAAATGGATGACGAACAGGAATTAGGGGAGAATGAGTCGGATGTGGACTCGTGCGTGGACTCCAACTGATGGACTTATAATTATTCGGGCTGGGCTTACACATCTTTTTGGTTTTTACTTCCCGACTATATGATGCTAGTATGGCCGTGTTTCATATGATATGGGCCGTATGTATTTTATGTGTATATATGACTTTTGCTTGTGTAATTAGTAGTGTGCGGATGTTATTATAATAGGTTGCCACTTAGTACCATTTTGTGTTTTGAATCTGTGAACGTTTTGGTTTCATGGACGCCAGTTATAATGTGGTGAATGCCATGTAGTGATGGATATGATTATGGCTGCCATATTTTGTTTAGGTTGTGAAATGAATGTTGATCCTACTACATTTTGTTTGGTGTGGTTTTCTATTTCCTTCATGCGTTGGCAAACAATTCTTTTGTTAAAAGCACATCACACTTGCATCCAAAGCAGAGAACACAAATATAACCACTGGTCCGTTACTTCATGATCACACGTATAAAGCAAAACATGGTTAATGAAGTACATAGAACCATTCAGAATTGGTGATTACAAGCTAAAACAAAAGTACATGTGAATAAAGTCAATAATAATACAAACACAACCCACAAAATAACGATAACTAAATTGTCCATAACATTGGTTGCAACTTCATAAGTGTTCAGCTAGGTAGGTGGGTCACTAGAAGATCCTTTGCATGAAGATGGGGCCGGCTTACGTGGTGGTCGTGGAATGCGCATTGGTGTGCGGCTCCCCCGTCTTTGAATGCTCACATGGGTGTGGGTGTTGACTGAGCCTTCGGAGGAATCCTGACGTTCTCTGGCACATCTTGGTTGGTGAACGTTGGTACCGATTGAACCATTTAGAAGTGGGTCATTGGTAAGGGAACTCAGCTCAAACACGTACGATTGTTCGTTCAAGGCCGCTACATAATCTGCGTTCGTAGAAATTTGGTCCAACACATCTGGTGGATTTGCGCTCGCGTCGTACACCTCAGTGAACAAATATCGTATGTCCGGCCAACGTGGGTCCCCAAAATGTTGGTATGCTACCGAGAATGGGTCGGACTGCATTAATTTATGTTTACAACTGCAGACGATAAGTATTTAAACATATATTTGTAACACACCACAATTTCTAAAACACACCAAAATGTGCTGCCTCAAAAAACACAGCCACTCCTAAGAACACCTTTTAATTTGCTATATAATAACAGTTTCATATGCATACTAGTAAGGTTTTACAAATTAAGAACTACACAACTTATGAATAAACACACTTGTGGAGGAGGTAACAAGACAATGAGGTTACAACATTTTGCGCATTAATTAAACAGTAGAACAAATATAGACACTCTTTTTTCATCTTGCTGCGTAAGCATAAGAGCATAACAAAAATGAAGTCCACAAGAAAAAGCACAAGGCAGTTGCATAACTACTTTGGTAAAATCGTAATAATAACATCATATTAAAAAAATACCTGGAAGATATCATCCCACACTGCTACCGGAGCCGTGAGAACGTTGGATTGGACGCAGTGACGCAATCCATGTTTCCGTAGCATCCAACTAAAGACTCGAAAACGCTTTTGAAGGAAATCAAACCTTTCCTCGACTTCACTGACCGTGAAGTCTGGTTTGTCTTCTGCTAGCAATGCACGACGGCAGTAGGTAAATACATGCGAACCTGGTCTGCCATGCCTCCATTCAAGACTAAAATGTGCTTCTACAAGGAGGTCTATGAACAGGTTGTCCACCTCTTTGGTCCAACGATCATCATAAAGGAACTCATCCTGTGTGGCCTCCCTTCCCAAACGTGCCATAATACAACTGTTCAATCACAATAGAGCCTGGGTTAATTAATATGTATTTTTCTGGCCTTCACTTCAGAATGGGTAAATTGTAAGGTTATTACCATTTATATAGGGGAGGACATGACCAAGCACACAGAGGCGGGTAATGTGTACCAAATGTAGAAATTGCACAATTTTTGTGATGTAAGTACATGATAAAGCTGACAACTGATTAAACACACCAGCTTCAAACACTATTTTTTCAAAAAGCATGTTACACCTCTGCCAAAGTGTGTCCCTGTTCAAAAGGAATCCAATGGGAAATGATAGCACCCCATGCAGACATCAACAGGCCAGAGAATATAATCATATACTTTTTGAATTGAACTAGTGGGGGAAAGAATAAAGGTTTTGCGGATTGGACAAAACAACAACACAGGCTTGCTTTTTCCATTCACAATTCGTAAATCTTGTGCTACACAATTGCGTACTTACTGGAGACCCAAAAGAAAAGAAATTTAAATAAATAACGACGATGATTTAGAAACATAATCCCACCCAATTAAATAATTACGTCACAGGAAGAAGATATCTGTAACAAATTAAGCAAAAAATTATGGCACAATAATAACATTACCGTGAATTATAACCCCTTGCAGAAGAAGTCCTCAGATGCGAATAGGTCCCGTCGAAACCTTACGCCGGATGATTCGTCTTGATTGAATTCCATGGCCGAAAGTCTGAGATCGGTAGGCGAGGGTGACAGATCGCGTTTTTCGACGGCCAATTAGGTTTCAATTGGGGCAAAAGACGAGAAAGAAAGATTATTTCATCGTCAATGTTATTTGGACAATGAAAGGGGTAGTTAAGTAAAATGTTGATTTATCCTAACAATTGTCATTCACCACAAACAAAAAAATTAAAGTTGTTTAATATTTCTCTTGCCCACAATCATGGCCACCAAACTCAAGACTCCTCAAATCTTAACAGTACAATCTAGGCACTCCAAATTATTAATATCTAATCCTATCTTGGAAATCAAACAGGCCCTTAGGTTATTGGTGATTCGTAGTTCCTGTGCTTTCTAATACTTATCAAATTCTTATACATTTACTAGTGGGCTCTCGGCTGTGCACGCACAGCCGGCCCGAGTTTACTCTATAATTACAAAATATGGATTTTTTTTTGTCGGACCCCCAAAAAGTACTGCTTAAAATGCGTCCAACATTATACATATATTTGGCCTACTCGAAGAGCACAGATTTCTCCATATTTCTGAAAGTAGATTGAAACATATACGTACCCACACTAAAACCTTGAGTGAGTTTATACATTTGTTTACTCCCCAAAAAGTCTCACGATCCAACTCGTCAAAAGTAAAATCAAAGGTTTTGTAATTGTTCAAGTACATAAAAAGGTTTTGTGCAGACACTATAAGACATACTAAAAATAAACTTGCTCGGTGTTTACCTTTGGATGTGAATGTCGGTATATGCAAAGGCCTAGGGTTAGACGACGTTCTACAAAACACTTTTAGCAACTTGTGTGTGTGTATGTATATAAGGGGTGAAACCTTAAATTTGTTTTTTGCCAAATTAAGCTTTGTTCATATCTAACGCACTGCCCACAAAGGATTGAAACAGTCCGTTTGGCCAAATGAAGTTATATTTTACACATCCAAGCTTCATCAGACACCCGCTAACAAAGCCTGAACAATCCATTTTTATTTGGATTGCTTTTCAACTCAATAGCCAAAACAAACACACCCTTCTGTGTCTCGAGCTTTTGCCTCCAATCAACACCAGAATACTTAGAAGCAAACTCATTCAAAGCATTAAGAGTCAAGAAAGACCTCAGATTGTTCATATCTAACACGCTCTGCACCTCACAACTCGACACCAGATACATATCATTATCCAACTTCCACCTCTGTACTTGAGAAACTCGTTTGCAAACGGGTGGGGTTCCTCTAAAGCTACATTATTCCCATCCCTAACCAGAGCAAGGGCTCCACACTCAGAGTGAATGGAATTAATATCATCCTTCACGTCACGCAAGGGCTCCTGAGACGTCTCGTGCACAGGAACCATCCATCTTGTCCAGGAAAAGCTTATTCCCGATACGTTCAACCACAATATCTCATGAGTAAACCGTCTTAGGGCGCACATTAGTGTGGAAAGAATCGAATATGTAGCAAAGACTGTAGCGACAATGAAACGGGCCCGCCAAGAACCATCCGTGCTCTTTTCCATCCTGCCCTCGGGAGTAGTTAATTCCAAACGATGAATCAACAATCTTCAAAAAGCGATTGCAATCCGTAAGACCATCTGGTTAGAAACAAATTTTTCTTTATAGTTTACTTGAATAAACAAAATTTACACAACAACCTTACAAAAAGTAAGCGGTACAACTCGAACGAAAAGCTCGTGTTAATGAAAATATACACTGATATGCATGTACCTGTATCATCATTTGTCCGGGGTGACTGAGATCCTTCACAACAATGGGCCACGACTGTTTTTCACTTTCTAATTCGACTGCCCAGCTTGTTCTTTTCTCAAGGTCAGCTGGTTTTCTAGTCTTTTCCATCAAGTTCCTAAAAGGAAAATTCAGGATACGACTACTCAGGAAAACTAATCAAGATCAAGGGTACAACAAATAGGATTTTCCGAGATTATTACGTGCTTGTGATGTCTCAACTTATCAGCCCCCTCGGTTACGTTTCTTAAGAAGAGCATGTGCTTTATTGTTTTATCTGGGAGTCTATATAATCTTCCATTTCAAGCTCGTTGAGATCATTACTCTTTTTCTCTAGCTCCAATGTGACTATCGTTTTTTCTTCGAATTTCTCTAGATATGATCATGTGCATTCCTCCTTTGATCCCCTCTCTCTCTATTACAATCATTGTTGCAGAAACAAATTAGTGTAACCTTATTAACCAAAGATAAGAAATAACTATAAAACATTAGTTTTTCAACTATATTATATGAAAAACTCCACATCACATTTATACTTAATCACACATATATAGGTATATATACATTCATTAAAATTTTGGAGCATCTCATTTTTCGTCTGCTCAAAGTGATGTGTGTCTCCTTGTACCTGGGCTTGGCTCTTTCTCCTGGAGGCATTTTTCTTGAGACTCGACCGTGCTGGCCAAATTCACCACCAGCTTCCCATTTTTCCTATTTTCCTCCTCTTGATGATGTACGATCGTCCTCTCTGGCCACCCAAGAGTACAACTTATTGCCCCTTTCCTGAGCACCAAAATAGGTACTCTTCCCGTGGTGATTCGCTTCGTAGGCCTTCTCAAACCTAAAGACATCACCAAGTCCACTCATCAAAATGATCTTAGACACAGAGAAAACATAAAAGAAGCCTAGAAAAAAAGTTTTATATTGCAAAACAAAGGTTCACGACCTTTGCTCAGAAACGATAAATGGTTGTGATATAAAGTAACAGTTCAAAACACACATAAAATTTAACATTGTGAATTAAGCCCTTTGCTATGTAGATGGCTCAGATAATGGATGTCAGGCTATATAACAATAAACTTGGACAAGGAAACAGAAGAGCATAGATGTGCAGAAGGACATATATTCTAGCCTCTGATAGTGACATATGTAGCATCAAAATGTGACATCACCAAAATAGATGTCATTTATGAGCTCGACCACGACAAAGCCTGCGTGGGCGTGTAGTTCCACAGAGGCTGGACTCGCAAGTGATATTGATGATAATAATTATCATTACATATATAACTAAATCTGTTTGATGGCACTATTTCGTGATGCATGTAATCATAAACCAAATAACCACATATGTCCATAATCAAAATTCCAATTGACAAAATGACAAGAGAATTAGTGGTTAATATTCCTAGCCCTGGACCCAACTAACAATAGAAACATCACAGTGAATCAACTTACATTCACAATGGGACCATATGTAGCAAACTGAATCACTATTTCTATACCATCTACCACTCTTTCTACGTGAGATAATTAAAAAACAAAAATCTTTGACATGAAATAATGTGACTAACAACCAAAACATAAAAATAAAAAAGCCTTTGGACTAAACAAGTTCCACTTGCAACCGCTCAAATTCAACGAAATCCTCACATTAATAATATTTTTATTTCGGGAACACAAATTAATAAAGATGAAGACACGGGTGATTTACTAACCTTTTCTCAATTTCGATACATTCAGAAACCAAAGGATTCTAAGTAAAGCCGTTATTTTTCTTTTATTCTAAAAATCATTGCCAAAGAAGAAAAATGGAGTTAATTAAGAAAACTACAAACCATAGGCAACCGTAAATAGCTAAAAAATTAAAATTGAAATTTGGTGCCTAAGATCGAAGTATGTATTTTATTTTGGAAGACTTGGTATCTTCTAGGATATTAGTGATAGATTCTCAATTTATTAAAAGAACTGACCAACCCAAAAAGGTGAAAAACCACACAATAAAATGTAGAGAATAACACACGCACTCAAATGAGCACTTATGAATTGCAGTACACATAAAAATAAAAATGAGACAAAATAAAAATAGTAATGAAAACGATTGATCGTCTACTGCACAAAGAGTTGAGAACAATTATTATCTTCAAGAGAAATTGATTTCAAGGAGAAATATATCAAAATTATATGGTTTCTATTTATCTCAATACCATCAATAGTCAGGAGCAACACAACACAACACGATGATTTTTTTAGATAACCTGGCCAATGAATATATCCTCGCATTAGGTAAATCTGCATCATATAATAAAAAATAATTAATTAAGTAATCAAGTTATATTTCATTTGATTTATTAAATGAAATATTCTGTGATTTTTCAGGAAGTACCGAAGCGAGACCCGGTTGAGGGGCGACGGGTGAGAAAGAGAAGGGGATATCCGTGACCCGACCCAACGCAAACAGCTCACGGGAAACCAAACTTACATTCGCCACCATCCTTGCATAAACCATTCGTAGTGTACATGCAAGGCCTCCACAAATCCCCCTGATCTGGTGCTGACCGAAATGCGACTAAGGAAAAGCGCCGACGGGCGTTATATCATGAATTTGGATAAGAAGGCCAAAATCTGAACCTATTGAGAAGCTTTTCTAAAATCAAAGACATTGGATAACAAAACTTCATTTGGTTAGCGCCAAGACGCAGCCAGAACGTTATAAGAAAAAGCTAGGCACACAAATACCTATGCGACGACCCCGCTTGACCTGCAGTTTCCACCCGAAGATGTTGTTGCACAAATAAACTACATATGTAAGCAATATACACCAAGAAAGACAGGCAAAACTATCCTAGAAAAATCAAGTCTTTAAAAATAAATAAACAATCCGAGATACCAACCTGCCCAACTCGTTGAACCTCCGACGACTATAATTAAGACTCAATTTTGTAGGTGCTGATGGAAGGTTTTGTAACTTAGCTCGTATCCGAAATTGTGTACGGTGTCTCCAGTGTAAAACCGGTAAGTCCTTCCTGGATAGTTGCGGCAAGGGTCAGGCCGCATGTTCATGTCACTCATGGGCACGCCCGTGAACGATTCGGAGTACCAAGTCATGGGTGGTCTTCCACCTGTTTATTTATTTATTTCATAGCAAGATCACTTCATATTGTCAGGATTCAAGAACAAATTCCTAGTGGGTGGTTAAATGATTTCTTGGGATATTTAACAGAAACTAATATCCCCAAGTTTGGAGGTAGCAAGGAAATTAGGTTATTTAAAAATGTTAAATACTTAAACTTATTTATAGATCTTGTACATGTCTTCGACATATTCGATAGCATTCAGGTCATTATTCACATCCGCAGCATCTATATCTACTTAGTTTATTACTCAGCCCACGAGCAGAGCTCATAATATTCGAATATGGTCAAGAATAAGAAAAAGGCGAAAGAACAAGTTCCCCTAAATCTAACTTATTCGATGAACCAAATGTACTTGTACCTTGCTTTTTGCACTGAAAGTCGAACTCAGCGTTGGAGCTTTCATTTTCCATGATTTTTTGGCCGGATTTGACTTGTTGGGCTCTGCAACTCTTTCTACATCGTCCGGGATTATTTCGATTATCTTCTAAGGCTTAGGCTTGATTGAGGCTTTCTTCCAAGTGAGCCTTTGAGTCTCACATGATTCTCCAATCTGTAGAAAAATTCTGGAGGAGGTAGATAGAGGAAAAAATGGACAAAAATATTAGTGAAAACAAAGATGAGTAGCGGCCATGGTTTGATGAACAAGGATTTGAGAAGAAATCCATTTCGGATTACCTCATTCGGATTTACCATTTGGTAATCTTCTTGCAGTTGCGGATCTCCCGGAGCGCACCATCCCGGTACGAAAGCGGTGTGGCTTCTTCACTCCTCCGGTCGCCGGCGAAGATTTTCTTGAGGCCTGTGAATATGTGAGTTGGAAATGAGACTAATTGCTTGGGTATGAGTTTGTGAATAGGGAGAGTGTTTGTTTACCTGCTCCTGTCATCTCCGACTTGCTTTGTGCGAGAATTCAGCAAAAATTCAGCAAAAAAGGACGAAAAGTTTTTCCCCATCTCTGACGTGCGGGAATTCAGGGAAAAACAATTCGGCCCAATAAATTGAAAAAAAAAAGGAAAAATAAATAAAGGCAACGCAACAGACGTAAAAAGAGGCAGAATTAATAAATAAAGGCCGCACAACAGACGTAAAAAGAGGGCAGAATAATGGGTATTTTAGTCCAAAAAAAGGCCAAGTGTCAAGCTTAGAGACCCTCACACTTTTACTTATATGTAAGAGAGAGATTAATTTAATTTAGCAAAGAAATCAAGGTAGTGGTGTAATTTCACTAATTTGTCAAAGTGTAACAAAATCGTGATTACATATACAAATTTGTTGTGATATTAAGTATAATCTTAACTACAATTCATCATAATTGAATTTTTTTCTGATGAAATAGAAACAAGTCAAAACTTGCGATAGCAAATCTTGTATCTTTGTTGTTACGAGAAAAACTGAATATTTATTCTCCAGTTGATAATCATCTCAAATTAATAGTTATATTTTAATTTATATTTCTTCTAAGTATAGGTATAGCGGATGGATATTTATTACAGAAAAATTGAATATTCAAAACTAGTCATAATTATTTGGTTTGTTGCGTTCACACTTAAAGAGTTAGGTTAATTACGGTACCGTCTTACCAATTCAAGCAGGACGAAGTTGCTTATATACTGCGAGTGTTCGCGGTACCGTAATTACTTGGTTTGTTGCGTTCACACTTAAAGAGTTGGTTAATTACGGTACCGCCCCTAGTGTGAACACTCGCAGTATATAAACAACCTCGTCCTGCTTGAACTGGTAAGACGGTACCGTAATTAACCAACTCTTTAAGTGTGAACGCAACAAACCAAGTAATTACGGTACCGCCCCTAGTGTTCCCTACTCTTTTCCTTTTGATTTTTTCAATTTTCCATTCAAACAAATCTGGCCAGACACGTAGACGAGCCCAAACAATGACACGTGGCCAACATCGAGATAATATCCAACTTGATCTCTATTTATTCTTCTTGAGTTTCTTCACACCACCACGATCAATCACCACAGCTTCCCGCTGATTACCTCTTATATTCCCACTCGTTGACCTAATTAATCTCCTTAAATGGATTTCTTATCGAGCTTGGCTAAAGGCGGGGACCACCAGCCCAAGCCCAATTCTGATCAGCCCAACAACCCCGACCACAAGCCCACCTCAAACTCCGATCTCCTCGCTAGCGCCAGGCTCGTCGCTGAGGCGGCCCAGGCCCAATTCCGCCACGAGCCCGAGAAGTACGACAAGAACAAAGTCGCCGGCGCCGCCGCTGACCTACTCCAGGCCGCCTCCGACTACGGCAAGCTGGACGAGACCAAAGGCGCCGGAAAATACATCGACCAGGCTGAGAGCTACCTCCGCAAGTACAGCACCTCCAGCCCCTCCGCCGCCGGCGAGCACAAACCCGCCGCCGATGCTGAAACTGCTCCCGCTGAGGAGAGTGCTGAGAGCGAGAAGCCGTCCGCCGGCGGCGGTGGGGATTATTTGAAGATGGCAGAGGGTCTCCTGAACAAGCCTTCGACCGCCGGCGAGAAGTCGGAAAGTGGATATGGTGATCTGATGAAGATGGCCGGCGGTTTCTTGAATAAATAGAAACTGCGCGTTTAGTTTACTTGTGTTCACGTTTTCATCACTGTTTCGTAAGTTTTACTTTTGTCTGTCCACGTCTTGTTTCAGATTTACTGCAGCCTTGTTTGCTTTTCAGGATGAGATTGGACTAATTTAGTTCAATACTGTTGGGATTGAACTATTCTTGTATTTGTTATATATGATAAGGGTAGGATAACTTTAAATTAAAAAATAAAAAAAAATGTGTAGGTGATGTAAATGTTTTACCCCTTTTAAATAAATCAAAAATAAATCAAAAATAGTTCAAAAATTATTAAAATGGAGGTAAAATAGAAATTTACTACAACAAGATAGGAATAATTTTACCTATTTTCTGGGATTAGTTTATCCCATATATGAGGGATTAAGTCATTTTTATACCGGGCCGATGGGATTCCCAAATACAGGATTAGGTCTGAATTAAGCGGGATATCCTGCCTAATCTCACCAAGCAAACATGCACACAGTGTGTATTAGTGGTGAGTGTATAATGTGTTATGTGATAGTTCTTTCTGTGAGTTGGTTTTGTTAGAAAATCAGTATGAAAAAATTGATTTTGAACAGGTTTGATTAATATTTTGGTGGCTAAAAATTTAATTTGGGTTGAATTAAATTGTGTGGAAAAATTCTATGTTTCGAGTAGATATTGTGTTATTTATTTTCTCAAAAGTGATTTAAGGTGAGTAAGAAATAAATAAGTAAAATTAGTCATTAATGATCAAGAGTTTTTCTCTATATTGGATTGAGATCAACTCTTTTTTTATAATGTTGTAGAGTTTAAAACAGCACCAAAGTTATACACCAAGTATAGTTGATGAAGCGCATGTTGGTCGGCTCGGGTTGGGCACGGGCCTGGCCTGAGTCCTTATTCTTGGTCCTTCGCAATTAGACTGTGGGTTAGACTTGAGCGGTATGGGCCCTATAATCTTTTTGTTGTAAATTCATTTGCAAATTTGTGGTCTAGAATGACATTCAACTAAGTTGGGTTTGGAATCTCGTTTTGACCCAACCAGTGTGAGACCCCTTCCAGATAGTACCTAGACATATTGACTCCACCTGACTGTTTTAGGTGGAGTAGTGGTGTGTTAACACCTAAAAATGATCTTATAGTTTTGATGCCCTTAACAATTATCAACCTTAAGTAGTAGTTGGGTCATGGCTTCTCTACCTGAGTTGGAACTCTATATAAATAGGAGTTTTTAGGTTGCAGCATAAACATTGAACATTGATCATCTGCATACTCCTCTGAAATAGCTTCAGCATCATATTACATACAAGTTCTTGATTCTTGACTTCGTTCAAGTTCGTCGGAGCTGGAAGTCTGGTGTGCTAAAGCCGTCGAGACGTCAGCCATTATATCTTTGGAGACTAGAAGCCTGAACCCGTCAACACATTACGGAGTGTATTCGTCTTGCGAAAAGAGCAACACTCGCATCAGCTATTGTCTTTGCGCGCGCTTTCATTTGTAATCTTGTGTTTTGTTTCTAGTTCAAGTTGTAGAACTAGACCATACACTCCAGTTTGTAGGATTCTCATATAATCAACACTCAGATTTGTAACAATCGCAAGACGAATATTAACCTACTAAACTGATGGCCTATACCAGAGATGGTTCTAACACTCAGTAAACTCTACAGCAACAACTGCCGATCAACAATGTTGTTCCTCATCATCATCCCTTACTGTACATATCCATACTGCTGAAGAGCTCGAGAAATTCAATGGGCTTTGACTTCAGTATGTGACAACAGAAGATGCATTTTTACACCAAATCACTTTGGTTCTAGTGAAGTACCTAAAGGAGGGCCCCTGATCGTTGTTGAAAAAGAGACCAATGTTGAACTACGTGCTGCATACGATGATTGGGGAAAGGTGACTACCGTTTCCGTAACTATGTCCTTAACAAACTTAATAACGAGTTGTACAATGTGTACAGATCGATCGGTTCTGCCAAGGAGCTTTGGGATGCCTTTAAGAAGAAGTATAAGACTAAAAAACTAAAGATGCCAGGGCAAAGAAATTCATCGACGGCAAGTTTCTGGACTTCAAGATGGTCGACTTCAAGACCGTCGTATCTCAAGTGCAAGAGTTTCAACCAATCTTGCACGACATCCATGCTGAAGGAATGACTTTGAGCGAGTCGTTCCAAGTTTCGGATGTGATCGAGAAGCTGCCGCCGGGTTGAAAAGACTTCAAGAAATACCTCAAGTATAAAAAAAAGGATGAGTCTTGAAGACCTGGTTGTTCGTCTTTTGATTAAGGAGGACAACTGCAAGTCTTCGGGGAAAGCCCCGATGATGGAAGGTCGTGCTAACTTGCTAGTGTAAGGCAACTCAAGAAAGAGAAAACCCCTTAACAATGGGAAAGCTGTTTCCCATTGTTAAGGAGGTTGGGCCAATGGGAAATTTACCAGCACCTGCCACAACTGTGGCAATCCGAACCAACTAAGGAGGTTGGGCCAAAAAGAGTGCAACCGAGTGCCTGTGCTGAGTGAAGTGATCGACTTTGATAAGTAGGCTATGGTGTTTAAAGCCATTATGGTGGATAACTCAAGGGAGTGGTAAATTGATACTGGTTACACTTGGCATGCCTGCTCCAACATGGAGTTTTTTTTTTTCTGACTACACTTCTTCTACTGGTCAAAAAACTTCACATGAGAAACTCCTCGTCTTAAGTGGTTAGAGTTGACACCATGGTGCTGAAGCGAACTTATGGAAAGGAATTGAAGCTAACTTATTTATTAAATCCTAGCTAAATAGGTTAAATACTTTATTGAGTCTAATTAGCTTAAATAGTTTTAATTAAGTATCTTAGTAATAATAATAGCTAATAATTATAATTATAACTTAAATAAATTTTATTTAAGAATGATTAAATCATTTCTCTTAATATTCTTAATTAAAAATCTTCGAATTCATGCTAAATTAAATTAATTGAGCTTTGTCTTACTTAAATAGTTGATAGAGATGCTTAAATAGTTTGTGTCCATGCTAAACAGAGATGCTTAAATAGTTGTTCCTAACAGGATTACTAAAGGGTTTAGAGTAGATTGTGTCCATTCTCTGAAAGTCAATGTCTCTCCTTACCAAGCTTGGAGAGTTAAGAAGTTGGCCCTGCATCAGCTTAAAGGTAGCTTCAATGATCAATACAAGTATCTTTGGCCATTTGCCCATGAAGTGAGGAGGTCCAACCCAAGCTCCACAATGGTAATTGGTGTGATCAAGCAAGCAACAGATTTGGCAAAATGTACATTTGTTTCTCAGCTCTGAAAATGGGTTTCTTAGCTGGTTGTAGACCAATACTTGGGAGTGATGGGTGTCATCTGAAAGGGCCATACAAAGGAATATTGTTGACTGCAATTGGTCTTGACCCCAATAACAACCTATACCCACTTTCTTATGTTGTTGTTTAGATATGGGAAATTTGGGGTTGGCTTATTAGAGTATTGAAGAGTGATTTGGAAATTCAAAATGACTCCGAGTGCACTTTTATGTTTGACCAGAAAAAGGTCTCATCCAAGCTTGTAATGAGGTATTCCCTAATGGTGAACACGGGTTTTGTGTTAGGCATATGGACAATAACATAAAAATTATTGGATTCAATGGACATGCTTATAATGTGGATGCGTGACAGGCACAAAACTTGCAACTGTGAATGACTTCCAAAGGAGGATGGATGCATTAGAGGAATTGGACAAAGATGCACATTAGTGGTTAATGAACAAACCTCCTTCACAGTGGAGCGAATAACACTTTTCTACCAGGCCTAAGTCAGATATGCTCCTGAGTAACTCTTAAAAACATTTAACAGTAAAATTTTGGAGGACATAGAGAAGCAATTTTAACCATGCTTGAATTTTAATCATGTTTAAACATACAAAATAGGTCACCATACATCATATATTTTTCACCATGGTGCATACATTCACAAGAGGAACATTATTAAACTAAACTAAACTTAAACTAGCATACATATAAAATATCAAGTAAATACACCACGAAATCTTCAAGTAAAACTTCAACTAGTATTTCTCATTCTCCAAGGTTTTCTTCTCAGATTCCAGCATTTCATGTTCAATATGGAGCGTTGTTATAATTTCAGAAGCTCGAATGGGAATCAGTGGATCATCCCATACAAAGAAACCACAATCACCCCTCTGATTTCAAAAAGAAAAGACAGGTAAATTAGGATTTCGGTCTTGGTATGCATTGATTGAATCAGACTTGAGTTGTAAATAAAATAGAATAACCTACATTCCAATCTTTGCAGCCATTGTATCGCCTCAGGGTTTTCTAGAATCCATGACGTCCACACATGAACTCTCTTCCCGCAAGGGTAAAACACAATTTTCGCGGTTCCCGATGAAAACGACATCCCTTTTCAAAATCGTCAGTGTGTGTTGATGATTTTAATCGAGTTGTATCTAATTTTCAATAATCAAGATCGCATCTTGCTCCCGTTGAATGCCCTAATTATGTGTAATTCGGGCAAATGAAGACGACACCATGTTCATCCCATTTCAGTCAGATTAATTCGATCTGGCAAAAAAAATTTTAAAAAAATATACGTAGGCGAATTTAAATACACGTACGGGAGTTAATTTAACATTGGCGAGTTAATTTATACGTAGGCGAGCCGGTCACACCGACCTGTTACACAAGCGGCCATAAGACCAAAAAACTAATTTTTTTCACCCATAATACTAATTTTAAAGGTGGACATTTACCAAAAATGAGACATGTCAGTGGACCAAAAAACTTATTTTACCCGCATAAAATGCGTAATAAATTCATAGTGCATGGAATAGTTCCCCTAATTCAAATTTAAGGATCACTTTTCTAGAAAAAGATTATTTTTTTCATAAGGACATACATAACTACTATAGTCTATATATACACTTTTTTTAATTTAGGATTTCGTGCAACGACGTCGTCCGTATCTGATGAATTGCTGAAAGCATCGAAATTTATAATTCCCTTAGACCAGAGCAAGGAGAGGGAGAAAAAACGAAGAAAAAAGGCCTATTTTTCTCTGTTTTGATCTCCTTTTCTCGTCAAAAACTCGAAACCCGTTTCCATATTCTCAAAACCCAGCAAGATTTTTGTAGCGTCACGTTTTCATGCTAGCCCATTCGTAAAATAAGGTACGTTTTTTTCTTTCTGATTTTCATATATTTTTGTGCGGTACCTTTTCGCATGTCACGAGTTATGACAAAGGTGATTATTCGTGATAGTAATCACAGTATCTTTTGTGGGTCTTTTTGTAGCTCACTCATGTATAATCTGAAAGAATTTTGATGTAAAGGTCTGAAATTTGCGGTATTTGTTAAGGAAAATGGCGCCTTGATCATGGATTTCGGTGATAAATGCTTTATGATCTTGATCACACATTTAATCGAATGATTTGGTATTGTCTGATAAATTCTGGTTCTTGTTTGTTACAATAATCCCACCATGAATAAGCTGAGGTATATTCAGAACAAAAATGTAGCATTATTTCATTATTTGACACGATAGTTAGAATTTAAGCCCATCTTCTTCTTCTTCACTGTTTTCCTTCCAAAAAACATATGACAAAAACTTCTCACCAAGTGTAGTTTTCTCTGGATGTAGGTTTAATTGAATTTCTCAGCAAGAACACTCATACCCCCATTCACGACACTTTCCTCGCCATTCATAT